ATATATATAGATATATAGATATATATATATAGATAGATTTTTTTTTTTTATATAAAAAATGGTCACAAATCTATGTCCAATTTACCTTTACAATTATGGAGATCACCTTCAGCCAAGTTTGGTAATTCATGACAGAAAAGGTAAGTCATAGACGACTATATTATTAAACTAATTGTTTGGTTAGATGAACCAATTTGCAAAGGTCATTTTAATTGTCAAGGCAGAAAACCAAGTTTAAAGGTCATTTGCAAAATTATTGATGATAATGTGATTGAAAGTTAAGAAAATTGTGAATTAACAGGGCAAAAGTTAATTAGGGGAATTCAAACCTGAAATTACACAAGGCAGGAAGAAGAAAAGGATAATCACTTGAATTTGTTACATAATTTATTAGCAAGTCAAACTCAATCTCATTTACTTGAAAAGTACAGAGTCCACAAGAACAATAAACAGAGAATTCGAAATTTTTTATTTTATTTTAAAGTATCCTTCTTCTTCAGCAGCCTAAAATAAAAAATAAATAAAATGGCACCAATCAATTCAAAAAGAGAAGCACAAGGAAAGGAAAGGAAAGAACCAGGTGATGATGCATCGTTGGCAGTAGAAGAAGGTGCGTTTGGATGAGGAAGTGTTGCAGCAAGAACAGCTCGCTCTCTCTTGGAAGAGTCAATGGGTTTAGGGTTTTGGATCGCTTGGACGGAGGAGGCGGTACGGGCCTTTGATCTTCGGGTTCATCGTCTCAATTGAGTATAATGCTTTGACCCAGCAATAATTCAAAGATAAATTTTTTAAAACATAACATTTACACATGTTCTCAATGAAGTATTTTGATCGATTGTAGTACAAAACATAATTTTGATTCATAATATTTTTGTTTGTCGAATTTACCCATGTTCTTAATGAATTTTTATAAGTATTTAGTAAAATTTTTTTTCAAAATTGAAGAAAATTTGCAAGTTGGAGGCAGTTATTTAGTAGTCAACAAACCTAAAATATATCCTTACTTACAATAATAAAAAATAATAAATGGAATTCGTTTTTGTATTGAAAACTTTGACTATTTTCATTTAGGCATATCAAATCAAAACTTACTCCATAATTTGATTAAACCAAATAAATAAGAGGGTAAAATTGCACACTTTATAATATGGGTATTCACATTTTTATAAGACTGTTCATGATTTCCATGTCATATACAATAAAAAGAGTCAAAAAGAGAAGTGGATAATTTTTTTTTTTTTTGGGTACTTTCTTAGAGATTTTGATGTTTCGTTAAAGAAAAAAAATAGGTGAAAGAGAGTTGTGCAGGGAAACAGAGATGATTAGGGATGGACATGGATGGTCCATTGAAAGAAAGATTAAATTGTAAGCAGCAAATTAGAAAAATAGACAGAGTTAACAAATTTAAAATTCTATATATACAAAATGAAAATTAAAAAAAGATAAAATTGAGGAGGGACAAATTTAAAATTCTAATAGAAAAAATTATATAAAAAGAGAGGTCGTTAGATAAAATTCAAAAATATCTCTGGGGCAGATTTATAATTTGAATTTTTTTCATAATTTTAGTAGGGACATATTTATAAATTGGAGTTTTTCATAATTTCAGTGGGACGTTTTCATAAATACATAATGCAAATAAATAAATAAATAAATAATAGTGGGGTGGATGCTCCCACTAAATGCCACATTGGTCCCGTACTTGTATTACAAAAAATGAGAAATTATTCATCGCAATTGTTACAACGATTACGTGGTGCAATGGATGGCTAAAAACACTTTACCATCCGTTATACCACGTCATCATTGTAATGATAACTCGCTTAGGTTGGCACATGAAGGCATGTCCACGTCTGGACCCCTCTTTTTGCACGAGAATGGCAACGTTGAAGATGACTTTGTTCCCTTTGACAATCTAACAAACAAAGAAATTATATCGTGCAAGTGTCTTGAAAAGATTGTTGAAAATAATGTCTGCATCATGAAAGAGTAATATCCTATCATGCAAGTGTTTTGAGAAGGTTGCTGAAAATAATGTCTGCATCATGAAAGAGTAACAACCTATCACGCGAAGATGTCCCGCGGTTACAGTATGGTGTCCGAGCGTATCATGTCATACTCCAATATGAAAAAAGGGAAAAAAAAAATTTACATGATCCAGGATTAAATGGTGCAATATGTCATTTGAAGAATGAGAATATGACACGTGGTCGAATCTTTAGGTGTCACGTTAAATGGTCATTCACTCAGCACGTGGTGTTCCACCATCTATAAATAGGATCAAAAGCAACTACCTATGGTAGGGGCATGCCCCTACTCTCACCCTATATAATACATATAAATTTTTAAAATTATTTTTACATATATATAAAATTTTATATAATATGTCCCTCCTAAAAATATTAGTTTTCAAAATTTTCTTAACTTTTTCCTTTTTTTTTTCATTTACTTTTTAAATTTCTTTAATTTCCATTTTTAAAAAGGTAAAAAAATTTGACGTAACGGAAGCGAAATGATAGAACAATACAATCTCACATGGACAGAACTGCAAAAGCTCTCAACTCAACAAAAGTTATAAAATACTCAATTTTTCATTTTCAAGATGGGTTCCATTCATTTTACTCCAAACTCACATTCTTTTATAGTGAGTTACAACAGACAACACAATAAATGTATGAGGCGTTTTTTCCTTCACTTCAATTTCCAAAGTTGGGCGCCAAACTCAATTCTTCAAACTTTTACACCAACATCCTTTTTGTCTGCAATGCCACCAATTTTGCTTTTAAATCTCAGGCCTCTAGTACTGTTATTCCTTAACGATTTTCTTTCTTTCAATAGTGTTCCCGAGTCCAGACTCGTACTTTTAAACCTGCCATCATTTCACTTTTACCACTGAGGATACCAAAAAATGACCTTGGCCAGGTACGATTCAGATTGCTAATAGCGGGTCGGGCAAGAGCAACCGCTTTTGACCAAGTCTTCACTGGTCAAGCCTAGGACCTAGAAATCATGTTGGAAGCCTGATTTTAGATAAAAGGAATTGAGCCCATAACCAAGAAGAGCCCAGAAGAACAACCCAGTGTAAGGAGTTAGTTAGGAAGTTTCTAGAAGATCTATAACAATCTATAAATAGATTGAAAATAAAGGGAAAAGGGGTTGAAAAATCTTTGAAGTGTAGAATTACTCTTTCTAAATTGAGAGTGGAAATTTCTTCCCTTTTTTTAATGGCTCCCCTTGATTTGGATGATATCCGTTCAAGGAACAACATCCCAAACGATGTCTCCCTCAGGGTTTACCCCACGAATCTGGATGAGAGATCTAGTGAAGGTCTCCTTCCAGGGGAGGTTCTCTTCTCTGCTCTTCACTTGAACATAATTAGATTCCCTTTACACCCGTTCTTTTGTTATGTCTTCAATAAATTAGGGTTTTCTCCTCTTCAGGTTAACCCTAATTTCCTAAGGGTAATATCAGTCCTTTTGATTTTAAATCGTGATAGGGGTCTTGAATTAGATATTATTGACCTTCTCCTTTGCTATCGAGTTACCAAAATCGGAACCAATGAAATGTATTTTCACTTCTTTCCTATCGAAAAGTGATCTATCTGTACGGACAAGCTCTCATTTGAAAAGGGTTGGAGGTAAAACCTAATTGGGGTTAGTGGAAATTAGGGAACTCCACTCGCTCAGACAGTCCCTATCCCAACCACTTTTGGAGAGTGCTATGTCCTTCAATATAAGAAATTTAAGAATCATCCCACTGACTGCCACTGTGAATCCTGTCTTCCTGGTTTTTGTACTTTTCTTTGTAAATACCTTCGAATAAATCATGACGACTTGGTTTACAGCGTTTGCAGGCCAGGCTTGACATTCTGAAGGAGAGAGTTCTGAGTAACATCCCCTCAGCCACTGACCTGTTCACCCCCGACAATCTCTTCGACATATCCTTCCTTGGATCCACCATGGAGAATATCCAAATTCCTTCTTTTGAGGTGTTCAGCCCCCACTCCTTCAACTGCACCAGCCATCACTACGCCCACCTCACCCGTCCTGGTTATGGCCCAAACTACCAAGCATCCGATCGTTGGGCCCTCTACATCAACCTCAGTTGAAGTTCAGCCTATTGTGCCAAATAATGAACCCTTTGACATTTTGACTGAAACTTCCCCACATGGTGCTCAGAATGTTGGAGGTTCTTCTCACAGATCTAAAAGATCACCTCCCGCCCGAGCTGGCATTTCAGAAAAAAGCCTGGGAAAAAGACCCATGCCTAAGGGTGGTTCTGATCAAAGTGACCTCCCTCCAGCCCGAAGGGCCCGGACTTCTTTCAGGGTCACCAATCATGTCCCCTCTCCTCAGCTATCCATTCCGGAGGGTGAGTCAGCCAAAACCTCCGGCTCTTCACTTACAGTGACCCCATGGCTTCCCTTGCTTAGTCGTGAGGATAGGCCAGTTATTGTCCTCACAGATTCTTTGTTCAAAGACCTGATCATATCATTTGCCTTCTACAAGGGCTTTTGGACTCCCAAAGACATTAAGGTTCAAAACAAAATAACCTTCAATGAAATGTACCAACGCTTCCGAGCAGTTGCTGTTGAAGTAATTCTTCCTCTCCATTTTTACTTTTTTGTTTCTTTTTTTTTTCTTTTTCTTTTTTTTCCTGAATGAAGGATTTTTATAAAAAATTATAAACAATAATGTACATGGAAATATAGTAAAGGCATACCCTCACTTTACAAATCATAAACTACCCTAAGAAAAAGGTAGAAAAGAAAACACTGCTAAGAACAAAATTAGTTACAAAATATCCTGAAAGCATACCCACATGACATCAAGAACGTCCCAAATAATACACTTAGCTAATTCCATTGCATCTCTACATATATCATTATGCATTCTCTCATTTCTTTCTCTCCATATGAAATATAACACCGCAGTAAACAAAATTCTAGCCATTTTGTCACTCTTTCCTGAAAAACGTTGATTAAACACCATTACCAAGTCCTACAAATCCAAGACCCTTTGTAAATTCCATCCAACTATGGCAGAAATACCATTCCAAACCTTCCAAGTAAAGTCACAGCTGCAAAATAAATGATCCAGAGTTTCCACACTCTTAAGACATAAATAGCATCTAAATACAATAGAGAAACCTTTATTTTGCAGAAATTTATGAGTTAAAATACCTTCCTGCAAGACCAAAACAGAATAAGTAGACCATCTTGGACGCCCCCCACTCCAGCATAAACTATACCAGCAAACATTCTGTCTTTGACTTCTACACACCTCCCAAGCTGCTTTGAAACAAAAATTGGACTTCCATTTTAATTGATCAACTCCCCCAAATATCCTATGATTATAAAAAACATGTCTCAATTCTTGTGAAGTATTAAGCAACAGATCTACATTCCATTGGCTATCAACAATAAAATCACTCAATAAACTCTATTTATTTCTGCTAAGAGAATCTAGGAACCTTCGGTTAAATAGTTCACTTAAAAATTTACCTTCACACCATGGATCCAAAAACACTTGAATCTGCTGTCCATTACCAATTCTATATCTACAATTTTCTTTTATAATGTCTCTAACAGCCACAATGTTTTTCCAGATTGAAGAGAATGATTCCTTAGGAATTACATTCCAAAAGGAAGAATGTCTCAAGTAATTTTCCTTAAACCAAGCCACCCACAATCTATCTTTGGATAACAAAAAATCCCAAGTAAGACTACACTTAGCAGCCTTGTCAATGTCCCTCAATCTTCTCAGACCCAAACCCCCTTCCTCTTTAGGAACACCAAGTTTATTCCAGCGCAAACCATGTATCTTTTTCCTGTCTTCAACATGCTCCCAAATATAGTTGCTCATTTTCCTTTCAATGATATTGATAATCACAGCAGGAAAGGAAAAAACAGAAGTCCAATAGTGTACCAAAGGAATAATTACAGCCCTGCTCAATTCCACTCTACCAGCCATAGAAAGATGAAGACCATTCCATCTAGTTGTAAGAGAAATAACCTTCTCTACTAGCCTGTTGCAATCCCTGCTTCTAACCATTTTATCTGATATAGGAAGACCAAGGTAAGTAAAAGGAAGTTTACCCACCTTGCAGCCAAGAGATCTAATGATACCAGTTTTCCTCCTAACTGAATTAGTAATGAAGACCTTGGATTTCTCCTTACTTACTGCTAAACCTGAAGCTTTTTCAAACTCAACCAGAGTTTTTTTCAATGAGAGAACTGCGGCCATATTAGCTCTAACAACTATCAACAAATCATCAGCAAAAAACTGATGCGTAATAGGTATACCAGATTTGACTGCAGCTTCAGTTGGAATAACTCTACCACTTTGAACCTCAACTTCCATAATACCTGAGAAATTCTCTGAAACAAGAGTAAAAAGAAGTAGAGATAAAGGACAGCCTTGTCTTAGCCCTCTCTCAGGTTGAAAATAACCATAAGGTGAACCATTCACAATGATAAAAAACCAAACTGAGACCATATAGCTGCATCAACTAAAGTATAAAATCCCATTGAACTGTATCGTAAGCCTTTTTAAAATCAATCTTCCAAGCCAACATAGGTTTAGCATGTTTTGCCCCAAAACCTCTCATCAACTCATGAGCCATAATTATATTATCCTGGATTCTCCTTTCTTCTATAAAAGCTGTCTGTTCTCTACCCACAAGTCTTCCTAAGACCTTTGCCAATCTATTAGAAAGAATTTAAGTAGTGACCTTATAAAAGGTATTGCACAAAGAGATAGGTCTGAAATCTCCAACCTTTAAAGCATCATTTTTCTTCTTAATTAAGGTAATAAAAGTATTATTGATGCCTCTTCCCAGTTCTGGATGATCAAAGAATTGAAGAATTGCATTAGTGAATTCCTCTCCAACAATACCCCAAAACTGTTGAAAGAACCTAGTGGAAAATCCATCTGGACCAGGAGCTCTATCCGGACCCATAGCAAAAACTGTGCTTCTGATTTCCTCCCTTAACACAACCTTCTCTAATCTTTCAACTTCATTTGTCACAAATCTTTTCCTGATATACTTAGCTTGAGGAATTTGAGATGCAGGCTGAGAGTTTGCATAAGCAGACTTAAAGTAATCAACAAACTTAGTCTTAATCAAAGTTGGATCAGTAAAAACCTCCATTTCTTCATGAATTTCTGTGATATTATTCCCTTGTCGGTGCTGTATTATTTTCTAGAAAAAATATTTAGAGCATCTGTCTTAATCTTTCACCTATTGAATTCTAGATTTCTGAGCCAGAGTTAAAGCCTTATTAGAAATAGCAGCCTCCAATTTCCTCCTACCTTCTTCTTCTTGCTGGATAAAAGCTTCATTCAAAGGATCATTATTTAATAAAAACTGAATTTGAGTAAGAGACTTCCTACAACCAATCACCTGTTCAAAAATATAACCAAATTTATCCTTGTTCCATTGTTTAACTGCCTGCTTAACCAATTTCAACTTGTAAAGCATCTTCTTTATAGGTTCCCCACTGGTCTTCAAATTCCACACATCAGAAATAATATCCTTAACAGCAATTTCCTTGTTCCACACTGTCAAAAATCTAAATGGTTTAGGACCATCAGTAATCTTCATTGGTAAATGAAGGATTAATCCCCAATGATCAGAAGTCAGAGGTGGAGTCAAAACTATTTGAGCATTTGGATAAGTCTGATCCCATTCCTCATTCATCAATCCTCTGTCCAATCTAGCAAAAATTCTTCTATTTAAGAATCTATTGTTACACCATGTATAAGTCCCATTTGTCACAGGAATATCAGTTAAGCATAAAGAATCAATGGTATGATTAAATTCAGCAAAAACTCTTGGAGAATGGTATCTACCTCCCAGCTTCTCAGAGTTACATCTAACAATATTCCAATCCCCAATCAGCATCTATGGACCATTAATAAGTGGAAGACTCTCCATCAATGACTTCCAAAGATCTGTCCTTTCCCTAGCAGTATTATTGGCATAAACAAAAGTAACAAACAATCTAGAAACAGTCCATGTAATCTCTACCTATAATAACATCATTTGAGCAGATTTCTCAATCATAGTAACATTTAGCCTCATTGGATCCCAACCACACCAAATACGACCTCCTGGAGCAGCTGAATAATTATTCTCCCATGTCTAATTGCTTCTAAGGCTATCTATCAATCTTTGGAACATGTGACTTTGAACTCTAGTTTCTACCAAACCACACAAAAATATTGAAGAACTACTTAACCAAGCTTTAACTTCTTTTTGCATAGCTTTCCTGTTGAGTCCCCTAACATTCCATAAACCAATCATTGACCAATAGGATTTGGTGGGAGGCACCCACCTGCAACCATACCTCTAGTAATTCTAACACTTGAATCCACTTCAATTTCTTTTTTCTTCTTTTTCTTTTGTTTCTTAGATGAGACACTCCCTTCAGGAGATACCGGAGCTATCACAGCAGTATCATCTTCAGCCTTTTTTTCCATCAACCTGGATTACTTGAATATTAGACTCGGAACCGTCTTGTATTATCTTATCAGCCTCAGCTTGATTCTTAGATGAAGCACTCCCTTCAGGAGATACAAGAACTATCACAGCAACAGCATCAGCAACCTTTTTTCCATCAGCCTGGACTTCTTGCATAACATTCTTAGCAGCTTCTAGCATTAGCTGGTTAACCTCAGCTTGATTGTCATCTTCCTTTATGTCAGAAATACCATCAGTAGCCTTTACCTTATCTAATTTTGAAACTAAAAACTCTGTAATCCCTACAATATCCATAGGAACTATAGAATCCTCACTCTCAACACTTTCATTGTGATACCCCCAAATTTTCGCGCGTGGGTTGATCAAGTCCACACCCAAAAATACGGGGATATAAAAAATAATTGATAATAAACAAGCACAGAATACAACATAAATAGAAACTGAATGGATAAATTAAGCAGAAGGGAAGTCTAAGTGATAATAGGATTACAGTCATCCGATACAAAATAAAAGTTTCAAAAATACAACTTGGGAATCTCATAAAGAAGACCCCCAAATTCGAAACCAACTACATAACTGAAATAGACAAGTCTAATATCTAAATGGATAAAACTCCTACCCTGGAGTAAATAGTAAGAGTAGATGTAAGGTAGATGCAACGGACAGCTAAAACCTTAGCCTTGCGGATGAAACTAAAGAGGGCCTGAAATATTTCAACAAAAGGTGGGTTAGACCCACAAGCAAGTCCTCTCTACTACATTCCAATAGAAAATCGATAAAATAATCATCTTAAATCAAAAACCATACCAGTAATAATATCTATTAATATAGAAATATACACCACTAAAATATAAATTATTAATCACTGATATGCAATAAAAAGTGCAATGAATTCCACAAATGATAAGTGTAAAAACATAATAGCAAGAAACTCAATAATAATCAACCACGTACCTAACAGCCATAAAATCTGTCTTGATAAAGTGAGTCTAAACTTATTAGCTAGCTCACGTGGTTCCATACATGCATATAAATAACCAACCACATACCCAACAGTCATAAAATCTGTCCCGGTAAAGTGAGTCTAAACTTATTAGCCAGCTCACGTGGTTCCACACAGGCATATAAAAGTAATAATGATTGTAATTTAAATGACATAATAATTTCCAAAAGATGCACACATTATAAAACATGTTAATGATTAATATCATCAATGGCTTATAAGCTAATTAAATTTCAAATAACATTCGTTATATTTTAATATATAAAAACTATGGCATGATTAGTATAAAAAAAAAATTAAAATTTTAAAAATATTCCATTATAAAAATATCCGAATACTCATAGTGATTAAAATCACTTAATAAAATACTAACAATGATTTATATCATTAATTAAAATAATGCTACATTTATGATTAAATAATAATCACAAAGATCATAAAACTACTTAACACTTAATAGTAGTTATCAAGCAACACATCACCCAATTAATTTTAAATACCAGCATTAACATAATAAAATATTTTCCATAAATAATTCATCTCGATTTAACTAATTTTCACATCACTATCTCACTAAAATAGAAATATCTCCTAGTAGGATAGGAATCTGAAGATAAAATTGATACCATTGGAAAGCTAACGAAAAGTCCTTAAATTTCAACTCAAGAATGACCCAATTTGGAGTTAAAATGACTAAGTTATGACCGTTTCAATTTCGTGTCACAAAACAGGCAAAATAATAGGTTGGGCTCAAACGCTACTGTGAGCGCGCCCACACCGGATTAAAAGCTAAGCTCTTGACACATGGCGTATTCTGATTCGCTACTATATCAACTCTGGTATTGCGCATCGTACCGGATCATTTCTTGCGGCTGCATGGGTATATTCATGCGCATGCACCGCACCTTATCGAAGCCTTATAAGTCATCAAGATTGATGGTTTGGATCCGCGCGCACATGGTTTTTCATGTAGCCGCACCGCACTGGATCACAACCCCTTCTTCTCTACCAATTGTCGCCGCCGGTGGCCGGAAAACTTCGCCGGAAGTTGTAGAATGCATAAAATGGCCGGAAAATACAAAAAAAAAAAAATCTAAAAAAATTCCAGAAAAATCTATAAAATTCCTAAAAATTATAGAAGCCTTATTTAACCATTTTAAAGTCATAAATGCAACAATTGGTCCCATAAAAATTCTAAAACACCTTAAACTCATTTTAATTCTAAAATTCATCATAAAAAATAAAAATATAATTAATCACCTAAACTAGCATGATTCTTGATCATAAAAATTGCATACGCACAGAGGTGAAAACTTTATAAATTCAAAGGGGAAGAGAAGAGCTTGGACTTACCTTTTATTTTCGTATTTAAATCAATCTGCAAGTTTCCTCCAGCCTCCTCCTCCAAACTTCTTCTCCAAATCCTACAGTCCTCTCTGGTTCTCTCCTTTCTCACTTTCCAGACCAAGGTAAGCATAGCATATATATATATATATACCAACTCTCTCTCTCTCTCTCTCTCCTCATAAATACTTATTCTCTCTCTAATAAATTCTTTGGAGTCTTTCTCATGAAGTTTTTGAAATAGGCCGGCTATGTACAACACACTAAAGTCCTCCATCCATTAACTATAGGAGCAGATATCAGCCTATTTGTCTTCTGTTTTACCAACCCCAACATAAGATAGTCAAAAGTAATTCAGAAGCTATTTTATTTTATTTTATTTTTTTGCTGACAATACCTAGTGCTACACAATCTCCCTTAAAGATACGAAACTTACCAAAATCAAACTATTAAATGTAGTTTCCAACCCACCAATAAATACTAACTTAAAGTTCTAAAAAAAATTATATAAATAATTCTTAACAATAAATAATTTAAATGCACATAAATAACCAAATAACGTTAAATAATTAAAAGCACAAAATAATAATAATAATAATATATATATATCTAATTTAATTTAATCCAATTTAATCAAATAAAACTCATTTAATTTTTTTTTTTTTTTTTGATAAGTCAAATAAAACTCATTTAATAATTTCCTTCAAATTACGGGGTATTACATTCATCAAGCACCTGAAATGCATTCTTAGCAATAATCGGATTTTGATACATTGGAGAAACTTTTTTCTTGCCACTTGATTTTCTTGGAATAGTAAAACCCTCCTCCAACTCCTCTGAAATTTTATCAGTAATAATCAAACTCAAATTCTAATCAACACACACATCTTTTCCCTTCACTGATTTCTTCACCACCCACTGTTTCTTCGATTTAGTGACTTTGATCTTATTTAATGGACACATATTTGAGTGTTACATTTTCTTACATAGACTACACACTTGGGGTTTCCATTTATACTCAATTTGGACTTTGAATTTCAGTCCATGTAATCGAGTTTGGATGGTTTCGGGAAAATTTCAATCCATCTCCATTTCTGCTAAAACGCGAACATACAATCCTTGCTCACGACTAAGAGTAATAGCATCTATATATAGAGGTTTTGCAATATTGGAGACCACCTTTGACACCGATATACCACTTCTAGCATGCACAGGGAGATCGTACACCTTTATCCAAATAGGCACTGAAGATAGAATATCACGTTCAAGTTGGATACTCTTATGACATTTTTTCACTATAATAGCACGACCTTGAAAAGTGTGGAATCTCGATAACACCTGTAATAGATCCTCCTCTGAAGGAAATCGGACCTGGAAAAATCCATCTTTCATGGATTCCACCATTGCATCCTTATTCCAACGTTTCTGAACAAAAGCTTTGAAGTAAGGAAAGTACGGTTTACTTCCCAACACGTAGCATACAATATAGTTTTCCCAATAATCCAATTCTTCTGCTATATCTTCATCTTCAATATCAATAACTTCTTTATTACGGCTTTCACTGTAATACGTCAAGGGGGTGAAGTTTGCAGATGTGGAGTTCACTAGTAAGGAACTCCAAGAAGGCTTAATAGGAGAGGACACAACCGTGGGTGGAACTTTCCCCACTGTAGAGGAGGGTTGACCCTCCTCTATGGCGTGATTTCTTCCACTGAAACCCTAAGAAACCCTAACTCACGTATCGCTATTCTAAAGAGAAAAAGGGTAATTAAGCTTAACTTCGATCTTCCTTTTTTGTTTTTCCCGTTCTGATTATTTGACATTTGTACTTATCAGAACACCTTTGCCTTTGTGCAAACTCTATTTGGGATGTTCACTTTCCAGAAGAGTATTGAAACTTTGAACAAGAAGATCAAATCCCTCTCTGGTGGTCTTAAAAGATCTATTGACTCAGAAAGGATAACCGAGGCCAAAAACACAAAACTGCTGGTTAAGCTGAATGAATCAGAGAAGGAGATAGATGCTCTGAGGGCTAAGAGGAACGCTCTAAGCGCTGAGAGAGGCGTGCTAAAGG